GAAAAATAAAACCTTCAACAGTTACTTTTTTATATAAGAGTTTTATATGATTATGTAACCTAAAATTGTTTCTGCTTGAGTGTTTTATTTCTGTTTATAAAACGTTGCATAATTTAAGTGAATTACAGTGAAATTTGTCCATCAGCAAAATATCTATAATCCACCTAAACCCTCAAAATAGGGTTTAAGAGTGACTTAAGTGATGCGTAGGCATTCTGCATGTGGTGAATTTTCTCCTCAATGTTTAAATTTGACAAACTTTTAAAAAGACCAATTTTTGTACAATCTGAGGGTGTAAAAGTTGTTAGAAACCCAGCAAGGACACTGGGAAGACTATTTAAGGGACTATTTAACAACCACTTAGAATCTGAAGTTGAGTATGCCTTTGTATTAAACAGTCATATATAGGCTTGGCAAAATTCGATCTATTTTTATAATTTCAACAAATAATATTTATTTAAAATTTATTTTAAGCCTCTTTTTCTATTTCTATCAATTTAAATGTTCCCAGTTGCAGGATATGTGGGGGATCAGACAATATTTAATTTCAGCAGACATTGAGATTCAAAAAGTAAAAGTTTCATAACCATTAAAACACAAATTGTCAACATCATGCCAAAATATACAAAGTAAATATCTTTAAACCAAACTCTAATAAGTTCTCAAGCAATAGGTTTTTCTTACTTTGCCTTTAGTAAATTTTGATTATTATTGATGGGAATATTTTTTCCATCACTTTGCGTATGGATGGTGAAATCAATGTTTACCAACACTTATCGATAGTAATCTAATCCTTCCAAGCCTAGTCTTAAAGCACCCTTACTATGAAGGTGAGGGAGAAGTCTAGTCAGAACCTGGATGAGAACTGGAAAAAGGGACTCCAGAAACTCTTGAGCTGACAAGGAGGGTTGTGTTCTGCCTTGATTTGGCCTAGAGAATTAAAATCTGATCCTTTTTCTGAAACTCCTAGACTGCTGCTGATACTATACTTACATCGGGAAGAAGACCTGGTCTTTACTTCTTTTAAAAGTGAAGTGTTTATTATTCCTGCAGAAGACATAATGTATTCCAAGATAAAAGGATTATGGAGCTCTTAGACCCTGAATAAGAAATTGAATGTGCATGGCCACATCCCAGAACCTGCCTAGACTCTCACTGACTTCAATAGGGCTCCATGTGGGTGCACAATCAGTTGCCAGATTGGGGCCTTTGTCTAGAGCCCTATCACTGCAGTTGATGTATAGTTGTGAAATAACTGTAGATAAGAATAATGTTTAAGTTCAAAGAGCTGCATGTTTGTGTGATTTTATTGTTTCCATCAATGAACAACATATTGTGCTCTTTCAGAAATTAAATCCTATACACAGTAGAATTAGATGGCATAAGAATATTTACTTTTGTATTTATATTCATGGGTGGCGAACCTCCTACAAAATACGGGACAGGAATTTATACATGAGAAGTCTGAATGGGAATGATGAGTGTGGGAAAAGGAGGAAAAATAACCATGAGGTGCCAGTCCTCTTTTATAATTTTGTTTCTATAATACAAAGAGGTATAGTAAAGTAGAAGTCAGAGTGTTTCTATATCCAAGCCATGGCATCTAATATGCACTTGTACTGACCCAGGGATTCACACTGTTCTCCCAGCTCATGATTAAAACCTGATCCCTATGACCCACCACAAATATAAAAAAATGCAATTATGCCCTACGCACTTAACTTTTCTTAGATCATTCACTTTTGGTCAAGCTTCTGTGCCATAACAACCATTGACGGAAATGCTGTCATGACCAATAACAATAGATATGCCTCACCTCACGTCCATTTCAGTCTGGGTCTTGTCATAAACGACTCATCAGAATCACCCCACGTCCTTCCCTGATTGCTACACATACAAGGTAACTCCCTAGCACTGTCTAGAGCATTTCCTTCTTCTACCCCTTTCACTTGCTTGAGGTTGGGTTAACTGAACATATATGAAACTGGACTGCAGGTACCAGGGAGAAAGGGGGCCAAAGTAAGGATGGAGTCATGGTTTTAATTCTGAATTTTGAAGGAGTTTGGGGTGTATTGCAGTCAGACTCAACACATTAAAGGGTGAGATTTTCAAAGGTGCAAATGGCTATGAGGCACCCAACTCCCCACTGACCTTCAATGGAAGTTAGCCACCTGCCATTGAAGAGCTCCCCTGAGCTTTACTGTTTCCGTGTAATTTGTTCCTTCCGCTTGCCCCCAACCTCCCGCCTAACTTTGGTTTTATGCATATTTATTAAACAAGACCAACTAAGGTGAAGATATTACAAAATCAAAGACTGGTCTCACACAAGTCTTTTTCAAAACACTTTCAAGCAGTGCTTAAAGATATTTTGAGATGCACCTTAGTACCCATACATATGCTCAATGCTTCCTTGAGACACTATTCCGGGTAGTTTCAACAGAAGACCACCTAAAACTGTTATGAGGTGCTGGGCCCAATTCTACCCACAAATAAATTCACTGGGAGTTTTGTCTTTGACTCCAGTATAGTATCCATTATAGCTCTCATTTGGATTTATTTCACAGAAATTGTGTGTGTTCTTTGAAGATGTCAGCAACAGAATTTTAGTTTTAGTAACCGATATGAGATCAACTATGATCAGGATCAGTGTGAATTCTAAATTATTATGTGGGCTCATTTTCAAACAGTGCTTTTTATTCAATTACATTAAATTACAACAAATTGAAATGAATGTGGTTCAGTGATGCAGAGTCACAGGAGTTTTCAGAGCTGTTATTTTCTTCATCTGATTTTTGCACTTCACATAATGGTACCCTTGGATTTCATAACCAAACTGTCATACTATGAGTTATTAGTTATTCACAACTTTATCATCATGCCCGAGATATTATTATTCCTTCTTCTTGAGTTTAAGACACAGTGATAATATGAAATTGAAATTTCATTGCACTGCAGCCAAGGAAATGATTACTACAAAAGGCACATCTGCCTACAGCTCACAAAGCACAAATGTGCAAAGGAAGATCTATGGACCACAGTAACTATACTCTGGTCATTTATGAATATTTTTTCTATTAACAGGAGTGTCAGAGTCATTTAAGAGAAAAGGGATGGCTGGCTTAATCTAACATTTTATTATTGATTTATTTAACTCTATGTTATATGTAGCATCCCTGTGGTAGCAATATGAAATATAGGGGAAACACCAATAATAGGTCTTTGTGGGATATCAAAGAATACCTATCTCTTATATTGGTCTTTTCATCAGTAGATCTCAAAGTGTTTTACAAAGGTTACCCTACTTTACAGATAGGGAAACTGACAAAGGGATGGGAAGTGACTTTCCCAAAATCACCTAGCAGGCCTGTGGCAAAGCAAGGAATAGACCCCCAGGTCTCCTGAGTCCCAGTCCAGACACGAGGCCATTGGCACTTGATCACTTTATAAGATAAACATGTATAAAATATGCCTGCTAATAGTAAAAGAAAACAGCAGACAACGTTGCTTTCTGGTTACCAAAGTACTATTATAAGGGAAATGAGTGCATCACTTTTGAAATCAGGGGAGGAGGGATGTTGTCTGGGCTTGCTGGAGGAAGGTAGCAGTATTGGAAAGTGTGTGGGGCGGGACGGGGGGGCGTGAGAAGGAGATCAGAAACTGTTGCAAAAAGGTGGGTGATAGTCAGCTGTGTGGTGCTGACTCACCCCTTGGGAATGTAAGGATCCAAAGGCTTTAAAAGGTGCAAGTCCTGGTGGTGGAAGCCCTTTCTCCATACAGTAGGCAAAGCAGCACCCACCTTCCCTCCTCTTGAGGTGCAAATATCAGGTGGGTCAGGACCTGTTATGGGCACTGTGCTAGTTACTCCTTTTTAGTGGATCTGGGAAGGAAATTTTCTCTCACCACCATATTGGCTTTGGTGGAATGGGGATTTTTGCCTTCCCCACAGCAGGTGTCAGGGAGGACCTATTATGGTGAGGAGGAAGCGGGGTTAGGCTATATGTCGCAACTTATTTGGTAAGTGTGGGGTGGATGTCCAGTGCAAGTACTCCATAGGGAAATCATCCAGTGAACAGATAAATGACCTGGTAAAGGATTTAAAAAGGAGATGCTGGTTAAAGGAACGGTGGGGGGGGGGGGAAATGAGGATCCTGTGAATTGTAAGGCAAGGAGCCAACCCCTCTTTCTGATGGCCCACCTTAACCCTCAAGGGAGGGGTGGATGAGTAAGGTCCCAGCCATGGGTTGGCTGGGGAACCTAGGCTGGTGGAAGTCCTGTGTAGTTATTTGAATGAACATGGAGTTGCCTGCACTGTACACTTTTATCTGCTAGGTAGTCCCAGGCATCTAATAATAAAGTTTCAGCCTGATTAACTCTATATCAAGTGTCTGCTGTCCTTCTTTTGGGATAGCCAGACAATCTAGGCTTGCACTTGAATCAAGAAAATCACAAATTGATTCAGATATCTGCTTTGACAAAAGAATAGGCCAGAACTTTCAAACATAACTCCTAAATACATACATCAGCATCTGGAGTGCTCTGCACCTTTGGAAGCTAAGCCACTTTTATTTATTTGCCTCAGTATGGATTTTGGAGTCCAGCGTTTGCAACCAAATTTAAAAATCTTGGTTAAAGACTGTAAAGACAGTGCAACCTTGAAAACCCAAACTTTGAGTGCTTAATGTTAAAACATATACCATTAAGCATGGCTATTCTAACCACGGAATAATTGGTTATAGTTAGTTTTGTCTGATTTAAACAATAATGCTAAATCCATGCTTGTCACACAAAAACAGCAAAAAGTGTTTAGAACTGATTGCATTCTTTGGCTAATTGTACATCTGTATTGCAAATGCAGTATGCATCTTAGCTGGAAGTCTAAAGTGTAAAGGCCAGAATACCAGAACATCAGCCACAGAGACTTAATCTTCATTTCCTAATATATAGTTGGATAAACTCAAAATTGAATTGTCATGAGCCTCTTGTTAACAGTTAACACTTACCACTGAATCGTGTTTTTGAGAATGCTTCAGAATCTCTCCGTGGGAGGCAGCATGTCGTCATTTTAGTTGCCACACAATTTTTCCCCTGTTAGACAGACACACGTTGTGCCTTTTATTAATACAAATGGTACTGTCATCTCAAAATACGTCACACTACTTTTTGTTTTTTATCCTTTTAACTTTCCGTAAAGGGCAGGCCTCCACACATACTAGTTTCAATTAGCTAAATTCCTCTCTTCTTTTCCCCAAGAACACTATGAGTCGAAGTTAAGACAGAATAGTCAGTGTGTCACTGCTAAGTTTGGATTTGTTTATTGATTTAATTTATTTTTAAAACATCAAGCCATCTTATTACCCATATACACAATAATAATAGCAAAAAAGACTTTGCAAGGTATGCCTGAGGCTACCAGTTTACCACTGATTTGTGTTATAATAATCTTCAGCAACGTATCTGTCCAGATCCGCCACTGACTTAGAAACAGATTTTCAGCTCGTTTCTAAGTTATTTATAACAAACAATAATTTGCAAAATAAATGCAATTGAATTTTAAAAATCTCCACATCACCTGTTTAAAGGCAGGCATTTTGCAATTTCACTTCAAGATACCAAATGGCACAATAATGAGATCTGCTGAATATAACATGTTATTCTTTATATGTTAGGTGCTTTGTAGCGATATGTAGCAAATGCTAATATGGCTGCCACCAAATAGAAATCCATTTCCAGTGTTCAGTATTGTGCTTAGAAGCACTGTCACTACTACTTGTACGATCCCTTTCGGAGCTCAAAGACACTGCAAAACATGAACAGGCTACATCAGCTCTCCTCTTGTTGTCACTGAACTAATCGATAAAGACAAGCACTTTGTGTGATAAATAAAACAGTAAGGGACGAAGGTGAGGTAACCTTGCATCCTACTAGCTCTCTAATAAAACTGACATAAATAGTGTATTCAAGAAATCAGGTCTAATGCATTAGCCACAGGACGGCCCTTACTAATCCAGTACAAACAATTTTTCAGTGTGACAACAATTATGCTGTGTAAACATATACTGCTTTCAAAGATCACTGCTTCCTACAATCCAACCACATGCCCTTATCATAGGGAGCAGACACGACTTTCAGGTGGCTGATGAAGAAACGGACGATCATCCATGCACAATATAGATTTCTAAAGGGTATTAGAAAAATGTACAGTAACTCCTCACTTAACATCAACTGTCGTTTCATTGTTATGTCCCTGATCTATTAGAGAACATACTCATTTAAAGTTGTGCAATGTTTCCTTATAACGTTGTTTGGTCGTGGGGACTTGGAACCAGGGTGGGCCAGCAGCCTCCCATCAGATCCCCTCCAACCCCTCCCGCCCCCCAGCAGCCCCGCAGATCAGCAACTCCCCCCTCCCTCTCCGTGCCTCCCTCCACAGCAATCAGCTGTTTCACGGGTGTTCAGGAGGCTCTGGGGGAAGAGGGGGAAGGAGCAAGGATGCGCTGGGTGGATGGGGTGGAGTGGGGGTGAGCCGGGGGCTGAGCACTCCCCAGGCAATTTGGGAAGTCGGCGCCTGTGCAGCCGTGCATGTGCCGTCCGGAGGGAGTGGTGCGCTCTAGCAGGAGAGTGTGGGTTCGTCATCTCATTCAGTTTCCACAGGGAAGTGTTTGCAGCCACAGCCGTGCATCTATTGTGTCTCCTCCCTCCTGCCTCCCTCGGTGCTGCCAATATCCTGGTTGATATCAACACAGTTGCTTTAGAAGAAGCTCAGGAAGTTCATGAGCAGGTCCCCAGACAATCCTCTGATTAGAATTTGTTTAAAACTTATACTGTGTAATGTCTTTTGTCTGGTGAAAAAAATTTCCTTGGAACCTAACTTCCACATTTACATTAATTCTTATGGGGGAATTGAATTTGCTTAACATCAGTTCGCTTAAAGTCACATTTTTCAAGAACATAACAACGTTAAGAGAAGAGTTACTCTGCAACCTATTTGTTGGCTGCTGTCAGTGAAAAACATTTTTTAACAGCTACAATAAGGATGACAGCCTTTCACCCACATTCTGGTCCCAGTGAGATCAATGCAAGTTTTGCCATTGTTCTTAATAGGACCAAGATTTGGTCCATAATTGCTATGTGCTGATTCCACATTGAGTAGCTCTTATTCCCAATGAGTTGTCCCATTGACTTCAGTCAAACGACTCATGTAAATAAGTGCTAGTCAGTGCCAGGGCTGAAGAACTGGTCCTCATTTAAATACAAAGATGGGGAATATCTACAAATACTGATGTTAGATACCACTGGATGGATAATGATGTCTGAATATAATGCACTTATGAAAAAAATATTGGTGCAAAGCATGACTACTTATTAATAAACAACTTGTAAAGTGTCTTCGCTGAACTGTGGAAGTGTCCATCTGGATATTTATTACATAGTTTGAGAGGAAGCCTAACATTACAGTAATTAGTTTATACACACCCTCTGAGGAATCAGGTGCTGAAGATTAAGACAACTTTTATTCCAAGCTATGATAATGTTTCAAATCTCTCCATATGCTAGCTCAGTTTTTTCTGGGGATTTCAATGCTGACGTAGATTCTGACCACCATTCCAACTCTTTAAGAGTAGTAAGTGATTAAACCTAGGATACAAGACATAAGGATATAAGGAATGGCTGGATAGTGAAAACCCACTAGGCCCAACATATCTTCCCCCTTTCAATATTTATTTTAACCTTGAACTTCCCTGTTTAGTCACTGCATATAATTTAACTCACACTATATGCAGTAAGTGTATTTTAAATTCATTCATACTCCTACTTCGATAAATTTAATATTTTTATTGCTGAGTGAGGTAGTTCTCTTACAATTACCAACCTCACAGTGAACACTTAAATAATGAATCCATTCCCTATAATTTCCTCACCATTCCTCATTCGGTCCCATATTTTGGAACTTATACACGAGCCAAATGTGTGAACACCAGTCTGTACTGGGATTAACAAAACCTCTATATCCTTTTGTTGTATTAAATACTCTATTATTATAAATTGAAATCATCCTTACTGATATAATCCCTCTTTGGTAAACACATCCTTCCGTGGAAATGATGGTCAATACTGAACAAAATATTCTCAATGAAGTCTAGTGAAACAACAGTATCACTTTTTTAAAAATCAAATTCTTTCTTTCTCTTGAATCCCCACAGTATCTTTAATTTAAAACAAAACAACTCAGAAACCATCTTTAGCCGTAAAAACAGATGATGATTTAAAAGATTTTCCTTTAATATTTACTTACCATTTCTTTGATCAGTAGGATGAATAATTATTTAATTTAACACGCACGCTCTTATTTTAGTACATTGGCCTTACTTAATATCTGCCTACATTAAAATAAATATTTCACTGACTGGCCAATTCACTTAAAAGACTCAAATCCTTCAGTTTCATTTTTTGTATTATTATTAGATAGGTCTTTGGCATGTGGGCCAACTTTGATATCCCACAATCGATATCAATTTCTTGTGGCTGTAATCAGCAGACAAGACTGTCGAAATCTGCAGATAGGTAAGCAAAGCTGGCATACAAAGATAAATTCACAACCTGGTGCATTACAATGCAATGAATAAATAGCAATGTTTCAGATGCAACACAGAGTAAGTAATGTCTAATATTCCTGGGCTAAGGAGCTCCACCAGATGTAACAATTCAATAGCTGAGTGGTTTCCCCTTTCATGAGTTAGTTTTCCACTCCACAAGCTATTTTACTCCTGTGCCAATAATTACATATCTCTGTCAATTATATTTGATGCGGAACTTTGAAATAATTCTCATTTTTAAAAAATCCAACATATATTGCATTTCCTTTGCTTTAAAGCCCACTGATACTTTGGATCAGACCTCAGGCAGTTTGTTGTGCAGTCCTTCCACATATAGAACTACCATAGATTTTAATGGTCACTATTTAAAAAAAGGAAGGGGAAAGGTAGAGTATGACTGATATTTCAGGTAAAGTATGACTGAAGACTGACAGATTACAAATTAGAGGTGGATATGTTAAAAAAAAAATGATAAGCATGACCTTCTTTTAAGAGATCACAGGACAAGTCCTCTAGACAAATTAAGCTTTTAAGAGTGTCCCCACAGTTAATCCTACAATGTGTTTGTTGTGTCTTTTGTTCTTCAAATAAATGCCTAACATAAAGGAATTGAGGTAAATGGAAGGCAAGCAGAGAATAGACAAAGTGTTCAAGGAAGAAATTAGGAGGAAGGTGAATTTGGGGCTCTCAGTGATAGGCTTAAGAGTTCACATTTGAGGTGAACATTTGAACATGTGATAAGAATGGGATATGAACAACCAGCAAAGATAGCTTGGGAGGAAGAGGATAGCAAGAAAAAATGTGGAAGACCGAGGATATGATGGAAAGGCTCCATCAAGAGAAGTTTTGAGAGAAAAGAAGTGGAACTCCAAGACCTATGAATTTATGCTATGAACTGGAAGGAGTGGTGAAGAATTGTGGGTATCTCTGACCCGGAGTAAACAGGAAAGGGAGAAAGAAAGAAAAGGGAGACATAATACCAAGGAACCACAGGAGCACAGTGGGGGACTGTAAACAGGTGCTAATCCAGGGTGCCCCCCTCATAGACTGGGATGACACTGCAGGCACCCAGCCTCAGTTTCGTTTTCAGTCCTCAAAAATAATTCACATACACCTAGAGTCTTTTAAAAAAATGTTCCCCTTCTCTTGGGATCTAATTTATTAAATGTCATTCAGATCCCAAAAATGCCCCAGAAGGTCCAGAATAATCAGTTTGCTGATCTTCCGTGCACAATGTAGAGCTTATTTGTTTGAGCAGGCCCTGGCAGAGGGCTGAGGCAGTGATAGGGAGTAGACATCTGGTGGAAAAGTGGCATGTTTTTTTTTAAGCTGTATTGATCACAGCTGATCATGACTGGGGTTCAAGTAATGTGCAACGGGGGAGAGCGGAAGAAGTGCTGCTGCGTTGGCTAATAGTTACTGTATATATCCTGTTCTTGTGTTTTTCCAGTGTATGATAAAGGACATTGCTTAGACAACCTTCGGTGTGGA